AAAAATCCCTGACCTGATATGGTTTTGATATCTTGGTCACTTGGCCGAATTTGTGTACTGTAAATACTAATCTAGCCTTTTAGGTACGCTTCGGCGACGTATCAGGCTCGTTTGGTCTCGCCATGGTTGTCAGTTGATCATAACATGGATGTCCAATATTAAAGATGTATGCTGCAAACCAAGGCTGCATGTCTCGGTCGACCTATTAGCTGAAGTATAATGGCCGTCATGTTGCGCGACTTCGTCGTCGTGGGTGCGCGCCCATGAGCAGAACCGCTACGATCATGACTTCGTCTTGCCAAAATACGAACCAAGGCTCGACCAGACTCACCTGATATACCGCCGAAGCGTACCAAAAAGGTACGAATAGGTATAAAAATCATTATTTAGCTCTTTCTATTCATCGCGCTTGCCTCATGGCGTGCTTTACCCCGTGAATGAATCTCCTTTCCTGTCCTAGGTTAGTCTAACGAAATCGGTAATTAAACAAGCTTGGAATTTTACATTGAAACTTTAATATTAAATAAAAAACTTACCATACTGTAAATTTTACATACCTATTTTCATCTTGCGAGCAAATCTGTCAGGATTTCCCTTTTCTTTCCACTCTGGAATTTTCAAAGTACTTCTAAAGAATTCGTGAGAAAAGGCAATGGATTCTATAATATACAATTGTGATCTATACAGCGTTTCCATTGATGTGCCCAGTAGTTGTTTAAATAACAACAATACAAACACTTACAAACAAACGAAAGAAAGTTAATAACATTATCAAATGACTGAGAAAATTACTCTATCGTGATTGGCTGAGACCAAGCAAATTTAGCATTAATTCTTAATTTGCACTGCACTGTAAATTAACGCGCGTGCGTTCGCAATTTTGTTAGTATAAGTAATCATACGGTTTTTCTCGTTCAATTTGGAATTAATTTGCACGAGTGAGTTTTTCCAAAAGCTGAAATTGCACGAGCCGCTTCGACGAGTGCAATTTCAGCTTTTTGAAAAACTCACAAGTGTGAATTAATTGCAAATTGAACGAGAAAAACCGTATGATTACCTATTAATAATATAAACATGAAAAACTTTGCGTGGAGGAAGTGCCGAAAGACCTTTCTTGAAGCCATTTTTTCTCATTCGAGAAAACTTTTTTCAAAGTTTCCCCACAAAATCTTCGTCATTATTTGACGTAAAATCATTGGCTTCGAAAATTTCCTATTGTCTTTCAGCCAATCATAATCCAGAATTGCGATGTTTAATTTGCACTGATGTTATACTTTTTGCACCGGTGTTACACTTTTTGCGTTTGTGTTACACTTGAACTACACTGCTCTCAGCCAATCAGAATCGAGTAATTTTTTCATGCATATTATTAGTCACATAGTGGCTGGGGTCACATCTACGATGTAACTAAAGTTTAACCCTAAGTTAGTCTCAAGTTACGTGACGTCATACCTAACCGTAGTTAGTGCTTTCGGTCGCCTTTGCGGTCACACCACGCAGTTAACTACAGTTAGCTCTAATTAGCCTATGGATGACGTCAGAATTAAAAGAGGTTCGTGACGGCCCTTATTGTTGATCCGTGAAACGTCAACATGGTTGACCGACGTAAAGTGTGTCTAGTTTCTCTTCTTATTTCTTTTTTTCTAGCGGCAAACCGTCGGAGAAAAATGAGAAATAAGCTGAGAATTTTAACTTACGCTCGCCGCCGAAGAAGGCAATACAATTGTACAATTGGCTACACGTGTTGCTACCTTATTGTATGTAAATGTTTTGTTTGTTGTTTTTGGTTTTCCCCTCGTTTCACGCTTGGTTTTTATTTTGCAAATTTATATACACTCATCTCGCTCGTGCGAAAATAATTGTTACATTCTGAATGGTTGTCTGTATTGTCTGTATTGTTTTGGATCACTGAGGCGTAAATTTTCTAACTATAGTTAGAGCGAGCAGAAAAGCGGTCACATTACCGAAATAGCTAACTACAGTTATTCCCGTCTTAACTATAGTTAGTAGCCCAGATGTGACCGCAGCCCATAAATAAGTAATCGTATGAAAGCTCGAGCAACAATACTCGTGATATTTGAAAAATCTTCAGAGAATTTTCAAGTATTACTCGTCTTTAATTGCACTCGCATTCATACGAAAAAATGAAAAACTCGCACTCACTCTCACAACTACTACAGCTACTACAACAGAATTTTATATCAGCATCCTGCTCTGGCAAAAAAAAAAAAAAACACACGAACAGAAGGCAGTCTATTCATGCACTTCCTATAATAAATATAATATTCTAAAAGTAACAACATGTGATGCAATCAAGATAAAATCCTCCATAACATCAAATATTCCAAAAATCAGATCTGTTTCGGTCAAAGTTCCAACATAGATATATACTTCTAAAGAATTCGTGAGAAAAGGCAATGGATTCTGTGATATACAATTGTGATCTATACAGCGTTTCCATTGATGTGCCCAACAGTTGTTTAAATAACAACAATACAGATACTTCCCAACAAACGAAAGAAAGTTAATAACATTATCAAATGACTGAGAAAATTACTGTATTGTGATTGGCTGAGAGCAGGCCAATTTATCATTAATTCTTAATTTGCACTGCACTGTAAATTAAAGTGCGAACGCTCGCAATTTTCTCAGTCACATACTAAGAGTAATCGTATGAAAGCTCGAGCAGCAATACTCGAATTTTATATCAGCATCCTGCTCTGGCAAAAAAAAAAAAAAACACACGAACAGAAGGCAGTCTATTCATGCACTCCCTATAATAAATATAATATTCTAAAAGCAGCAAGATGTGATGCAATCAAGATAAAATCCTCGAATACATCAAATTTTCCAAAAAATCAGATCTGTTTCAGTCGCTAAAGTTCCAACATAAAAATTATTGTTCCGTAGCCAGGACATGTTTCCAAAACTCGGCAGATTTCGTGCAGAAGATGAGTAAACAAGTGATACTCAATGGATTCAGCTTCATCATGACAGGAAGCACAGTTTGGTGAATCAACTATACTAAGACGATATAGTTTATCTTTTGCGAACACACTAAGATTTAAAATTTGTATTGAAACTCTATGACTTTTTTCCAGTCTAACACTATGTTTGGTCATTTATTTCTGTCTAGCTGTGGGTGATACATGTTTTTTCTCCAAGAAGAGCCGGTAAATTTGCTCGAAAGAAATATCAAGAACTGCAAAGAATAAAGCGAGGGGAGTCGAATGTATCGCCGCGGATTCAAATAGTTCTGAGAATTTATACTGAAACAAGTTGAACAAAAAATGTAGTAAAGACGCGATCTCTTCTGTTCAAAGTTCTCCGAAAGCAGCTTACAGGATCATCGTCACTCTACCATGCGAACAGTAATTCCCTCTTCGTTCTGCTCGGTAAGAGACGAGAGGGAACCTCTGCTCACAACCGCTCGATCGTTTGGTCACAACAAGGGACGAATAAATTAAAATACTAGCTTTTGACAAGTTTTTCCCGGTTAAAACTTACGCATGACAGATAAGATTTAAGCCGCTGTCCACTTGCGAGAATGACGACAATATCTGCAGCACTGTGACTGGCTAAAAATAACAATTGGTAACACTGCACTGACATGTACTCATCAAATTCAAAACTTTCGTCGGATAAATAACTAGGAATCTTTGGGTCTTAAACTGTTTCCCCTCTGTGTATTTTTCATGGCGTTATCTCTATTTGCTTTATGTTTACCTTTCTTCATTTTTGGGGAATAATTTTTCCGCGGAGAAACCGCCAATCAATTGACACGGACCACTATCACCAATGTTATCCTTGCTCTTGTCCAAATCAGTCAACGTTCTATTCACTTTTAGGGCTTCAGAGAGATGAGCCGCACCACTATCACCAATGTTGTTCNAATAAATTAAAATACTAACTTTTGACAAGTTTTTCCCGGTTAAAACTTACGCATGACAGATAAGATTTAAGCCGCTGTCCACTTGCGAGAATGACGACAATATCTGCAGCACTGTGACTGACTAAAAATAACAATTGGTAACACTGCACTGACATGTACTCATCAAATTCAAAACTTTCGTCGGATGAATAACTGGGTATCTTTGGTCTTAAACTGTTTTGCATATTTTTCATGGGGTTATCTCTATTTGCTTTATGTTTACCTTTCTTCACTTTTTGGGATTACTTTTTCCGCGGAGAAACTGCCAAGGTTGCGCTGTAAAGTAAGCCCAATCAGTTGACACGCACCACTATCACCAATGTTGTCCTTGCTCTTGTCTAGATGAGTCAACGTTCTATTCACATTTAGGGCTTCAAAGAGCTGATTTGCACCTCTATAACCAATGTTGTTGTCACTTACATGCAGATTAGTTAGCGTTCCATTCTCTTTTAGGGCTTCAGAGAGATGACACGCACCACTATCACCAATGTTGTTCCAACTCACATCGAGAGTCGTCAAGGTTCCATTCACTTTTAGGGCTTCAGAGAGATGAGCCGCACCACTATCACCAATGTTGTTGTGACTCACATTCAGATTAGTCAACGTTCCATTCTCTTTTAGGGCTTCAGAGAGATGAGCCGCACCACTATCACCAATTTTGTTCCGCCTCAAATTCAGATTAGTCAACGTTCCATTCAGTTTTAGGGCTTCAGAGAGATAACCCGCACCTTTATCACCAATGTCGTTCCAACTCACATTTAGGTTAGACAACGTTCCATTCACTTTTAGGGCTTCAGAGAGATGACCCACACCACTATCACCAATGTTGGTCCAACTGACATCGAGAGTCGTCAACGTTCCATTCACTTTTAGGGCGTCGGAGAGATGACCCGCACCGCTATCACCAATGTTGTTGTGACTCACATTCAGATTAGTCAACGTTCCATTCAGTTTTAGGGCTTCAGAGAGATGACGCACACCACTATCACCAATGTTGTTCCGATTCACATTCAGATTAGTCAACGTTCCATTCACTTTTAGGGCTTCAGAAAGATGACGCACACCACTATCACCAATGTTGCTCCAACTCACATTCAGATTAGTCAACGTTCCATTCACGTCAAGGGCTTTAGAGAGATAAACCGCACCCATAACACCAATTTTGGTGCCGCTCACATTCAGATTAGTCAACGTATTGTTGACTTTAAGATCCTCGGAGAGGGAACGCACATCGTGATCACTAATCATTTTGTTACTCAAATCTAATCTGGTCAAGGTGGTATTGATCCTAAGTGCCTTGTATGAAGAATGTGGACTTGGAGCGTCAATATCTAATGCTGAACAAAAAAGCTTTTCAACTGTAAGGAAAACCATAAAGAGGAAAGAAAAATAGATGAGAACTATTTTGCTTATATCATGGCTTATGTGACGTTGTTTCTCAGTTGCATAATTTATTAAAAGATGGGGAAAATTGTTGTTCAACACCCTGTCCGAATTTTATAGTTCGTTTAACAAATAAGGTAACGCGCGCATGATAATCATTATGACGCAGCAAATGCCGTATCTTCGTCTGTGTTGTAGCGTTTTCACAGACTGAGCTGACAGAAAAATTGGTAGACCACAGTCGAGTCTGAAAGCCTCCTTTTAACCTTATTAGTCCTCCTAATCAGAATAAAGCAAAATCTAAGAAACATATGCGTAGCAGAATAGGCCGAAAGATTGAATTTAACAAGAACGACCTATTGTTATTAATGTGCTAACCAGGGAGCTATTGATTGAATCAGAGTTTAGATACCAGATGCATCGATGTGTAAATCGATGTAAGCAAGCGCACCTAACAACCAGACGTTTTTTTAGCTGCATTTTGTTAAGAATTCTTTTATTTAACAAATAAAGAAGCCTAAGCCGTGTATTACACTGTGATAAAACACGACGGGCATTTGAGAACACGAGGGAAATGTAGAAAACACTCGCCTGCGGCTCGTGTTTTCTACATTTCTCGAGTGTTTTCAAATGTCCGGAGTAATAAGTCACGGGGCAGAATCAGGCAATAAAGATTAGATTCTTGTCGCCTCTTGCAACTTGTTGCTCCCCACTACATAGAAATCTCAAGTTCGAAATCAAATAATGAAATAGTTTTTGGTTACAGTAAAGTAAATCACCTGCGATCTCCTGCTCAAGTGCAGCATCGTGAAGTCTTTCCACAGCAAAGTGAATCTTATCTTCTATAGGAACCCGAGTAAGAGACTGACAAGACAGCGCCGGAGAATTATTAACTGGATGTGTCGAGCCTTTTGTCGCATCTGAAAATAATTTGAGAGAAATTGCAATATTGAAACATATTTAGAAGTTATCAAACAATATGTACATTAAAGGTTTACTTCCACGACTCAAAATTATTATTATTTTATTATTATCATCATCATTATTATTTTGATGATGATGATTGTTATTACTGTTATTATTATTGTTATTATTACAGGACGGTCAAGCAAGAGACTATGATCGTCTCCTGGTACAATTGCAAGAGTACTTTTCATACTTGTACTTGTTTTCTGTCAGGAATCGTGTCAGGTTTAGTGAATGGAACTCTTTTATTCCCAGTCCAGTGATTTCAAAGTTACAATGTTGGCTGTGTTGTGATTGGAGAACAACTGACCGAAACTTCAAGATCTTGGAAGATTTACTGAATTAATTAAGGAAAGAGGAATAAATAAAAAGCAATCAAGTAAAAGTTATCTTATTTGTTTTCTGTCACTATTATTCCAGGCTGTCAAAAGCCTTGAAATTTTCCCTTTCCTATTGGGAAATGGCCGTCCAGTGTGTCCAAGTTGAATTTCTTTCACACTATTGACTGTGGTGTTTTTATGTCGCGCGATGACTGAGTTATTATAGTATATGCTATGATAGTTACGTAATATATTAAGCATAAGAGATCTTTTTCTATCAAATCTTACAACGGAGACTTTTTTAGTGGGTCCGAGGCAATTTGATAACAACCAGCAAAGTATTGATTGTCTGATATATGTTCGCTATTGAAACTTAAACTACGGGGGTAGACATGGTAGACAACACTACCTTCGGCTACTTACCGGGCCTTTCAAAAAATCGCAACTCCGAAGTTCGTAACTTAACTAACAATTGCACTTCTCGCTGCCGTTTATCGTAATTACGACGACATTAATCAAACCTTAAAAAACAAACACCAAAATGGATCGAAATTTACCAAACGTTACCTTTTGAATCCGTTATCTGAAAGGTGCCCTAAAATGGCAGCGAATAACGTAACCACTTTTTGAGCTCGTGTACGTGTTATTGAACGCACACTAAAAAATGAGGGGAAACGATTCCTTTGACGCTGATAACAAGGTCGATAATAATGGTAATTGTTTCTTAATATAATGAAAAGAAATATCTCTAACATTAAAAATTGAGGGCTTACTTTCTTCCGTTCGTTTA